CACCAGGGCCTGTAGCCTGAGCCCAGAAAGCCGCCAGGAGTGGTCCCCCAAACAGCTCCTCAAGATGGATAGGGAGGCCGGGGGAGGGGAAGGGCCACCCAGTTGGGTGTCTGTGTCTCTCACTGCTGGGCTTTGAGGATTCTCTCAAGCACCCTCAGAGGGAGGGTGTGGACTGCATGCTTGATTAAGGGGCACAAGTGACTCCACCAGCTGCAAAGACACTTTCTGTGAGTGGGGGAAGTGGCTTCCACTAACACAAAAGAAAGTGGGGGAGAAACTCCTAAAGACTACAGCCCATGCTTCGTGGGTCTGCACAGCCTCTGTGCATGTGCTAGATTTGCTCGAAGGATAGGACACGACAGCTACTGAATAGATAGAACATTCTGTTACAAAGGAAAAGAAAAAAGGAGAGATCACACCTACATGTAAGACAGAAAAATCTGAGAGAGGAAGGAAGAAAGAGGGGGGAAGAAAGGGAGTAACGAATGGAAGAAGGGAGGGAAGAAGTCAAGGAATCGTCACCTGCAGGGGCTCAAATATATGGGGAGACATCCTGGAGGAGGCCCAGCCACGCTGTCACCTGCTGAGCCTGACACTCACCACATTCCATGACACAGCTGCAGTTGCTGGCCCCAGAGCCACTTAGTCACTTACCTTTGGGTATTTTTCAGCCTCCAAGTACCCCCTTTATTCTAGCTTCTTCTAAATTTCCTACCTGGGTAAATATCTTAGTCCTGCCACTTACTAGCTGTCTGACCTCAGAAACATTGGCCTCAACTCAATTTTTCATACCAGTTACTGGGGACAAATGACAAGAGAAAGAGGCAGCTGTGTGACAAGTGGTCAGCACAGTGCCCGGCACCCAGCAAGTGCTCCATAAGTGGCAGCACTCCTTCCACTATGACAATGAAAAGATCTCGGTGTTCAGCTGCCTGCAAACAAGGGGGGGTCAGTGATCAAAAACCACCTGTCTGTTGGATTAAGTCATTTAGAAAAAGGATGACGGTTTCACAGTTCTCAGAACTATTTTACTCTTGTTTTTACCATGGGATATGTTATCTTGATTGATCCTAAAAGGTATATACAACAGCTTTACCAGGTTTTTATCAGTTTAAAATCTGCTGGTGTCTTGTTTTGCAGTATTAGAGAACAGTAGCACTTTAGTTTTGTGGTCAAGGGCCTCAAAAGGTAGATCGGAGAGAGCAGCAGCTGAGGGGCGCTCACACCACACAGGGCTTCGGGTCGTGTTCCTGACAGAGGCAGAGCCAACGCCTGACCACACAGCAGGCGAACAAAGTTGAGGTTTTGTCCTTTCTCACACTGAAGTTCCAAGAGACTGTCCCTCACATCCCTTGATTGGGCGTGTCAACCTGGTTAAGTAAGCTGGGAGCTGATTCCTTAAATGCCTTCATTGTGTGGCTCTGGGTTAGGGCTGTCAAAAGAGCACCTTGCTTGAAATTGGGAAGGCGAATGGGACGCATCAGCCGCTGCTGTGGGAGGGCATCCTGGTGCGACACGGGGACAGGTAGAACTGAGGGTCCCTGGCAGGCTCCAGCTCAGCCTTGGTCTCTCAGTTCCATGCCCAGCTCGGCCTCCCGAATGCTGGCCAGGCTGACAGTGCAGCAGCTGCCTAGAGGCAACAGTTCCCAAAGACCTCTCTCTGGGTTCCCCAAGGCACAACTTGGGCCCCTGGACCTGCTTCTCAGGTTCCCTGCGACTACTCTGTGCAATGTCTCCACTTCTAAATCTCTGCGTGTCCCTCCCCCCTTCTGGTTTTGGCTTTCTCAGCTCCTCCCACCATGTATGAGGTCCTATTCCTAAAGGTGAATACTCAGAGTGGCTCCAATTCCCAGACTGAACCAATACTGACAGAACTCCAAACTACGGAGGCTCACCCAGGTCTTTCTTTTTCATCCCCTCTCTTAGTTTTTTATTTGACAGACTCTAACTCTGTTGCCCTGTGTAGAGTGTCACGATGTCATAGCTCACAGTAATCTCAAACACTTAGGCTCAAGCAATGCTCTTTCCTCAGACTCCCAAGTATCTGGGATTACAGGTACCTGCCATAATGCCTGGCTAGCTTTTCCATTTTTAGTAGAGATGGGTGTCTTACTCTTGCTCAGGCTGGTCTTTAAAAACTTCTGAGCTCAAGTAATCCAGCTGCCTTGGCCTTCTAGAGTGCTAGGATTACAGATGTGAGCTATCATGCCCCGACCACTCTTCCTTCTTATCCAAACTTTGTTATCTATGTCCCCTTCCACTTCAGCTATTGAGAGGACAGTGACACTCCTGCATCTCCCATATACTCTCTGAACAGGCAGGGATGGTGTCTGTCCTCCTGTTACACCACCAGCCTGCACAGTGCCTGCTCAGTGAGTAAGGATGGTGAACGAGTTACTGCCTCCTTCAGTACATTTACAGACCATGCGAAAGTTCTTGGAGCTATACAACCTTAACCCAGAAATGGCAAGAAATTTCAAATAAAAAATGCATATGTTGGCTCGGCGCCTATAGCTCAACCGGCTAAGGAGCCAGCCACGTACACCTAAGGTGGCGGGTTCGAATCCCCAGCCTGGACCCGCCAAACAATAATGACGGCTGCAACCAAAAAATAGCCGGGTGCTGTGGT